TGCTCTGCTCCCTTAGGAGATTCAAAGCTCAAGATCCAGGAGGCCTAAGAAATAGGACTTTCTCTTAGCCCAGAGAGGGTCCAGTTTTGCATTCAACTATTTGAATATGTACTTAAGTTTACCTTTACACTTTATCACATCCCCTGGGGACTGTCCTTATCTATGCTCACTTTCTTTAGGAGACACTTTCCGGGATAGAACCTGTGCCTCAACCAGCCAAACCTATAAACTTGACTGTAGTCATGTGGTGACTAATCAATTAGCCTCGTGGCCATAGACTAAACAAGAATATTGTCCTTACAAAACAAGTAAAAACACTGACAGGTTTAGTTTTATTTTTTCTTACCATATTCAAAGTGGCCTCAAATTTCTAACCTTACCCCCCCAAAATAAAATAAATAAATAAATAAATAATTCTTTTTTAAAAATAATCTTTCAACTTAAATTTTTTTTCATTGATTTCAGAATGAAAGGAGAGGGAAAGAGAGATAGAAACGTCAATGATGAGAGAGAATTATCAATCAGCTGTCTCTTGCACAGTCCCCAACCAGGGGTCGAGCCTGCAACCTGGGCATGTGCCCTGACTGGGAATCCCACCAATGATGCCCTGGTTCATCAATTGATGCTCAACCACTGAGCCACACTAGCGGGGTCAAACTTTTTTTTTTTTTTTTTAATCCTCACCAGAGGATATGTGTTAAGAGAGGAATGGAGGGCAAGAGAGAGAAACACCCATCAGTTGCCTCCCATACGTTCCCTGACCAGGGATCAAACCTGAAACCTAGTAAGTGCCCTGACTGGGAATTGAACCTAAAACCATTTTGGTGCATGAGACAATGCTCCAACCAACTAAAATACCCGGCTAGGGCAAAATTTTCCAACTTTAAAGGTCATTTGAATTTGTGGATCCCACTCTTCAATACCCAGCTCAGATGGTGGGAAATAGCAGTCTCTAGTCACAGGTGGTTTTTTCCTGAACACAGGCTCTCAGCCAGAAGAAAGCCGAGTGTGTGGAGGGGTACGGAGACTGCCATGCAGACCCCACATCACTCCCATCAGCTCCTCAGGAGCTCTAGAGCTGGGGCTGGAGTTGTCCCAAGCTGGCCCAGGACAGTCTGCCTTACACTCCTTCACAGACCAGTCATTGGATTGGGTCACCAGGAGGGCATGACCTTGGCCAGGTGGTTCTTTGAAGGGGCTGGCATTGGAAGCTGTCCACCGATAGTGCTCATAGCAGCTGGGGGAACAGGTCCTTCAATGAAGGGGACAATCCACCCTTCAATGAAGGGGTGGGGGCCACCAGGTCCCTGCTGCCATCTGCCAGGACTTGTCGGTGCCCTTCCCTTAGCCAAGCCCCTGCTGGGCTCAGATGTTAGGCTCTGTGCCTGCCCTGCTGGCTCTTGGCCCAGCCTAAGTGTTTCTTTAAGCAGATCCTCTGCTTACTGGCCAATCTCCCAGTGGTAGAAGACCCGCCCAGAAAGATGGCTGTCTCTCCTCAAGAAATATGAGTGTTTGTCAGGTGGGAACCCTGTTGTATAAAGGAGAAGCAGTGAGAAGGTGCCAGCTGTGTTGAGGTGGATTTGTAACTTTGTCATGCCTCAGTTCTCAACACAAAAGAATACCCTACATACAGCCACCCTGTTAGTCTGACTGTTCATTGTTTCCCTCTTTTATTTTTTTCATTTTTAAGTGTATTTTTATTGATTTCAGAGAGGGAGAGGGAGAGAGAGATAGAAACCTCAATGATGAGAGAGAATCATTGATGGGCTGCACGCCTCACACTGGGGATCAGGCCCACAACCCAGGCCTGTGCCCTAACTGAGAATCAAACTGTGACCTCCTGGTTCATAGGTCGACACTCAACCACTGAGCCACGGCAGCTGGGCTGCTTCCCCCCTTAAACACCACCGTCTGTGACCGTGTGCTGCCTCTCCCCAATAGTGCTCCCCTTCTTCAATTTTTATTCATCTGCCAAGGTGGTCCATATGCCCGTGATGACTCCTGCTGGCTGACTGCTCCTGTGTCTATGAACTGCTCTCTCTTGCCTGGGCAGGGGCCTTTCCCCAAGTTCATGTCTTCCAGCCTTTACTTTCTTGCTCAGGCCTGCCCACTCCTCTCCGCGTTGGACTCCTCTTAGTGTGCAGCCCTGAACTTCTCCCCAAGTGCACTGGGGGTCCCACCTGCAGAGAAGATGTTGCCAGGCAGATTTGCCAACACAACTGTTTATCCCGAAGCAAGGAGGAAGGCTGGAAGCAAGCAGGAACGTCAGCCCTTGGCACGTAGCTTGTAGAACCCTCTGCCACGATAACAGCAATGCTCACTCACACATAGCACTCAGCTACCGGCCAGGCACTGCTCCACGCACATGACTCATTAACTCCCGTAATCCTCACAACAGCCCAGTGCAGTAGGTGCTGTCATTGTCACTTTACAGATGAGGAAACTGAGGCATGGGGATAAAAGAAACAGCTAGTTCAAGGCAGAGCCAGGATTCAAGGTGGCCTGGGCCCCGAGGCCATACTCTATACAACTCTCCCAGCTTTAACACATGTCCTGCGGGGATCCCCCAATTCTCGGCTGACCCTGGCTCCAGAGGAGGCATGAGGCCCAGCCAGGTATCCCGTTCCCCTGGCCTCAGGGCTTGGTTCAGGAGAGAGCATGGGAGCCAAGCCCGGCCCTGTGGACCTCCCCCAGGACTCTCCTGCCAGGCCAGTGGGAACAAGGGCCTCTCTTTCCAAGAAGGTGGCTGAGCCACCTGAAAATGGAGCCAGCACATACTGGGGAGGGGGGTGGAGCTGGAAAGATAGAACCCTGAGGACAAGGCTGAACCCGGGGCCCGGCCACACCCACACTTGGCAGCTGTGCTGGTCAGCTAATCCCTTCACCTGGTCCGGGCTGGTTTCTGTCCCTTCTGAACTGTTGGTTACTTTGAAGTTCAGTGTCTAGTACCGTGTTTCCCCGTAAATAAGACATCCTCTGAAAATAAGACCTACTTACAGGTTTCCTTCTGAGTGAAATATAAAGCATCCCCCTGAAAATAAGCCCCCCCCCCCCCAGGCTAAACATGAGAGATTTGGTCCACTGATTCTGAAAGAAATGGAGTCAAAAGAAATTCACCAGGAAATTCAGGAATTGGATTGTTATGATGCTGTTCCAGAAGATGATGACATGATTGTCATTGAATAAATGAGTAAATTCTTGATACCGTAGGATTCAGTTTGTCTGGTTTCTGTTGACAACTACCGTACTACCGTACCGTATACAGGTAATCAATTTCCTTTATTTTCATTTAAAAATAAATGTGTACCATATTCTTCTTCATGGAAAAATAAGACATCCCCTGAAAATAAGACCTAGCGCATCTTTGGGAGCAAAAATTAATATAAGACACTGTCTTATTTTCGGGAAACAGGGTAGTCGCTGGCACACAGTGGCAATTACCTTGTTCAGAGTTTTTTCTGACAGCCTCTGGGTCTACGCTGGCAGCTTTATCGCCCATTCTCTGCTCTGGCTCAGCCCAGATTGAACTGCTGAACTACCCTCCCCACCAAGTACCCATCACATCCCCATCAGCTTTCCTCCCTTTGGCCTCTGCTGGGGACCCCACCTCTCCTCTCTTTCTAGTCTTGTCCAAGGGGCCTTGATCACTGGGAGCTGAACTGACAGCCTCCGTCCTCTGAACCTTTGCTTTCACTGCATGGAGACAGTTCGCGGCTCACCTTCAGCAAGTGGCAGCTGCTCGAGGGAAAAGGTAGACACACCTGCTTCACCTGGTGCCCCTCCCCTTGGGGCTTGGTATTAGGTTTCCCCGAGAGCCTTCTGCAGGGTAGGGGAGGCAAATATGCACCTCTGGGGGCCGGCAGGTGACACCAGTCACTGATGCAGGCCAGGTAGGTCTCTCTTAAAGCAGCAGCTCAACTGCCAGTTGCTCTGAAGTTATAAGGCCCCTAGGTTTTTTATGAGAAGCAGAAATTTACATGTTTATATAAGCATTCTGGGTTTTTAAATGTCAGCAGTTAATTCACTATTTGAGAGACACTGTGTGGGGCAAACACATTTGGAGATGCTGCTAGAAGTGAGGAGGGAAGGACCACATCCAGGGCTGCAGCATGAGGGAGTGCGGGTGTGACCTGCGTAAGGCACCGGCCAAGGGCAGGAGTGGGGCTCATGTCCAGTAGGAGCGTCATCACCAAGTCACGTGACCAGTGTGATACTGTATCCAGCCAGGGGGCTGGTGGATTTCCAAAGCAGGCGGCTGCCTTCCCAAGGTGGACAGCATCACAGACAAGAGTAAAACCACAGAAACAGACCTGGGCCGAGTGTGACCCACTTGTCCTGGTTTGCCTGGGGTTTTCCTGATTTTAAACCTGAAAGTCTCACCTCCCAGGAACCTCTTAGTCCCAGGCAAACTGGACGGCTGGTCACCCTACCTCGATCCCCGTTCCCACCATGTCCCTGGCCGGCTAGAGGATATCATAGTGACGGCTGAAATGTTCGAGTTCATCAAGTGCCCGACCCCATGTGTCAGGACCTGCATGGTTTCCCTTATGTCTCATAACATCTTCGTGGTGAGGTCCATTATCCGTCCCACAGAGGACAGTCGGAGGTGCAGTGACTGGCCCAGGGCCAGCGGCGGCGCTGGGGTTTCAGCCACGTTGGTCCGTGTCCTCAGGCCCTCGCAGAGAGCCCAGCCTCTAGGCCAGGAGGCCCGGGAAGGGTCAGGCCCCTTCCTCAGAGCACACTGACCTGGCTGGAGGTCCCGCCAGGATCAATTTTTGCAAGTCTGACCCCCACCGCTGCCGGCTCTTTCATTTCTGCACTTTGGCTCCAGCCCCTGAATGGCACCACCCGGGAAGCCCTCAGGGCATCCCTTTCTGTTCCTGTCCCTGCGCCCTGTGCCCACCGCAGAAACCTGGGATAAGGCTGGCACTTAGAAAGTAAATGCTGCTGGGGATGTCTTGCTTGGTCTGGGGAGAGCTATCCAGGGTGGCAGGGGCAAGGGGGCAGGGCATGAGTGTCCCAGGGTCTCAGGAGGCTGCTGAATCAGTCCTTTCGGGGCTTGCTGTGCAGGGTCTGGTCATAGCTGGGGCCAGAGTGGGTGAGTTGGCTGGTCACGTAACACGCAGCTGAGCAGATGCCTTCTACAGTCCTCTGCTCCGTCCTCTGCAGCATGCGGTTGACAGAGGGAAGGACCAAGCCAGTCCTGGCTACCAGCCGGAGGAGAAGGCCGACCTGGCGCTCCCCAGGATGTGAGACCGAGCGCAGGCTGGGCCCTGGGCTGTGCAGCAGGTCTGCCACGGAGCTGTGTCCCGAGGCTAGGAGGCCCGTGGCCACGCTCCTGGTGGCCTCAGACCAGACCAAGCCCCTGGCCCCCTCCCAGCAAACTGGTCACGGAGAGCAGGTAGGCGTTCTCCTCACAGGCTGTGTAGACTGGAGTCCGGATGCTTCTCCTCAGAGCCACCATAGGGGCGCCAGGCAAGCAGGACACACTGCTTCCTGGGGAGGGCGGGACCAGCGGAGCCTGCAGGTCTCTTGAGCAGTCTATCAACCCCCCCTCGGTCACTGCCTGGGACTCAGCCGATGGCAAAGGTTCAGTGTCAGGGTTCACGGCCTCGGGACCCACAGATTTCTCAGCAGCTTCAATGGTGTCAAGCTGGCTGTCTGCATCTGCAGTGCCCGAGGCAGGCACATTTCGGGGGAACTGTGCTTCAGCACTTGGGGCAGGTGGGTCTAAGTCTTGCTCCCTGTCTGGGACACCCGCTGTTTGTGGTGTCTCTTCCTTCACCAGGGAGTCACTTTGGGAAATCTGAAGACTCCGGATCCTTCTCGAATCTTGCACCACACTAGGTTCTGGAGACTCAGGGATGTTTGCAGGGCATCCGGGGCCAAGGGCCAGCTGGGCTGTGGCCTCCTTGGGCTTCTGCCTGTGCCCTGCATCAGCTTCATCTTCACGCTGGTTCTCCTGCCCACAAGCTGCTGTGGCCTTGGAGGCGCCTGGCTGATGGGGGCCGGCTCCACATCCTGCTGTTCAGTTGGCGCTGCACCGCCAGCCACTGGGCCACCTGCAGGAGGGAGACCTGACTTTGGGATCCACTGCAGGGCTGTGTGAAGACGTGCTGTCACTACACATGGGGGTGCCGGCCTCTCCCCAGGGCACAGTGGTCATCCAGGCCCTCTGTTACTTGTGCCGCTGAGGGAGTAGTGGTGGCCCTGCTGGGTGAGCTGTCCAGGTGGTGAGGGCCTCCGACGATGTCACAGGCACCAGTAGATGCTTTTAGTGGGCTCAGGCCCAGGACTGTTTATAGCCAAGTCTGCCAGTGCATAGGAGAGAAAGACAAATACATTAGAAGAAGGTGGAGGTGTGTATGCAGTGCAGGTGCCACAAGGAATGATGAGGGCTGTGACTCTGATGAAAGAGAATGGGATGCAGTTGCTCACTTATAATAAACTAGAGGCCCAGCACGTGAAGTGAAATCGTGCGAGGAGGCGCCCCGAGGGGGGCTGGGACCCGCACCTGACTCTCACAGCACCGGCCGCTGCAGGAGTCAGGCCAGATCGGCACGGGGTGGGGTGAGGGACAGACTGGTGCCACAGGGGGCCGGGTCCCACACCTGACTCACATAGCATGCCCCGGCCCCCCTGCCTGTGTCTGCTCCGGGGCCATCGGAGCCACCAGCTGGCTCGGGCAGACCCCCTGTCTCCGTCTCTGCTCCAGGCCTCACCTGGGTGCACAAGCTCCTCCTGCCTGGTCATGACCCGTTAGGGAGTCCTGGCCTAATTTGCATACTGCCTTCTTATAATGTAGATGTTACAAGGGACCACTCCCAGCACCTCCCCAAGAAGATGTAGTCCTCTGCTCCTGTACACGGTCACATCTTGTTGGGCCTCTTGTGACCACAAGGGACCTGGCCTGAGGAAAAGCCCCGCGTAGAGGATGGTGGAGCCAGGGGGATTGCACAAAAGTAGGACAAAGCCTTGATCAAACTGCACCTGCGGCCCCCAGCCCCCGGGCCCCAGACTTCCTGTGATGGCAGGAGATTTACTTCCAAATTGCTTTAGCACGTTGAGCCAGGGCTGTTGTTACTAGCAGTCACAGGCAGCTTAAGGGACAACATCCAAAGTCATCCAGGGAACCTGAGTAGAGAGACCCCACCGTCCTGTCTCCCTCAACACCCTGCTCCTCTGGCCACTAGGGTGGTTGCTCTCGTGTCCCTCTCTCCTGCCTTGGCTTCAGACCTCTCCCGCCAGGACCTCTGTCCACACTGGTCCAGAGATCCCCCCACAGAGTCCCTCCCGCCTCCTTCCTTGGATTGGTCCCCTCCCACATCCTTCCTTGGATTGGTCCTCGGCACTGGCCCTCAGCTAACGCAGCTGAAGCTGCCTCCGCAGACTAAGCACTGCAGGGCTCACCACTGAAGCAGCAAAGATGGTCATTTCTCCCCCAGAGTCTACACTAATGAGCGGAGCTACAAACCAATCTAGTCCATTGGGCCCTGGGCTCCCCAGTCTTTGGCTGGCTGCTCCTCAGGATGCTCCATCTCAGCTCTGGGCTCCCAGGGCAGCCTCTCTGCATATCGGCTCTGTAAGAGGGCCTGCAGGGTCTCCATCTTCCCAGAACCCCGCTTCCTGCATGTTCAAGGCACAAGGAGAGAGAGTAACTGGGTGCCGTTAGCAGATGGTATGAGAATTCCACCCAGAACATCACTGGCTTTGTTTGCAGAAACAGGATACCCAGCCCCAGGGGGTGGGGCTGAGACCCAAAGGCATTCTCAGTGACGAGGAAGTCGCTACCAGCTTTCTAAGGAGGAGGGTGCCATTAGCCCAGGGCCTTTGTGCGGAAAGAGCTGGGTTTGGGCCAGGGCTGGGGAGGGCAGGGTTCTGGGAGATGAAGGCCCGGTTAGAGGGGAGCAGCAGGGCTGCTGTGCTGAGAGGGAGGGCCAGGCTTCCCTGGGGATGCAGCAGGGGAGGCTTGGGAGGATAGAAACATCAGAGGGAATTTTTAAGTTGTTTGTGTTGAGGTCTCCAGGGTACACCCCTTACCTTCTCCGCTCATTGAAAATCATACCTTGTTTGCTAGTGCTTTTGGGTAAGTGCTGGCAGCTAGGGGACTACAGGGTGTGTGTGCGTGTGTGTGTCTCCTAGACATTGGCTTGGAGCAGACGACTGTCTTTGGGGACACAGATACAGAGACAGTGGAGGGCTGAGTTACAAAATGGTGCTGGGACAATTGGTTAAGTATTTGGAAAAGCACTAAGTTAGTTTCTAACTTTCACTTTCAGTTTTTAAAGAGGTAAATGCAGAGAGAAGATCAAAGGCAAACTGAAAAATTTTTTTTGATTTTGTGAAGAAGTACTTCCTAAGCTTTAAAGCCAGTTTAAAAAAAAAAATTTCTGAAGGGGAAAATAGAGATAAAAAAAATGCTCTAAAAATTTTAAGAGCAAATCACAAACTGGGAAAAATATATTGCCTACAAATATGACTGAGTAAATACTACATACATACTGAAAGGTTTGCAACGCAGAAGCAAGACACAGAGTCCAGGCGATTAAAGAAGGAGGTTTTAATCTTGCGCTCCCCGGGGAAACTCGCTCGTCTGAGGGTGGGCTAGGGAAGTTCGTGCCAAAAGGGGACATAGGTACTTATTTTATAGAGCTGGTTAGTGAGGGGAGGGTGGAGGGCATGAGAGATGTGGAATTCCTGCTTTGGGCCAGGGGTCTAGGAGGCATCAGCTGTCTTTGTCACCATCCACCTTGCAGATGCTTGCATCAGCTCTGGGCTTCCTCTCACCAGGGCCCCTGGGCTCCTGTCTGCCAGCAGCCCTGCTCCTGCTCCCACCTCTGCTGCTCCCATGTGCTGTGGAGCCGGCCCCACTTACATCTGCTGATGGTGTGAAGTGATTGGGGCACCAGCAGTGGGAGCGAGCAGGGCCAGCACTGGCAGTGGGCGTGAGCAGTGGCTCTAGTGCTGACAGTGGGTATGAGCGCTGGTTGGGACCTCAGCACACAGGAGCAAAGAGTTTTCAGTAACCACCAGAGGCTCGCCCCCATGACAGCGACTGGCACCCCACCTTGGTCTGGTGCCCCCCTGCACCTGCTCCACCATCCTGCTGCAGCCAGTGCCCGTCATGTTCCGCACACGCCCCCTGGTGGTCTGCACACATCATAGCGACCGGTTATTCCTTTGTTCCACTGTTTGGGTCTATTTGCATATATATATATATATATATATATATATATATATATATATATATATATATATATTCCCGTAGATGGACCAGACACCATTAGATACCCAGTAACACAATATGCAAAAGATGAGAACAGACCATTCATCCAAGACATCTAAATAACTAATAAACAAAGGAAAAGATTCAAATGTATTAGCAATCAAAGAAATATATGATTAAAAAATAAACTATCTGTAGGTCGTGGTATTATAAGTGACTTAAAATTGTTTTCTTTGGCAAACTGCATTTTCTAGTTAATTGTTTTACAGTAACATTTATTGCTTGCATTAAGAGAAGATCCTAAAAGGTAAAAGCACAGGATGCCATTACATAACGAGCAGCCAAAGTCAGAGATTTCTAGTTGTGGTGGATCACAGGCAAGTTTTTTCTTTTAACCATGAGTAAGTATTACTTTAAGAATTAGAACAAATTTGCAAGTTAAAATAAATTCCTTCTTTCTAACCTCCCAGAAGCCTGTGCTCTGCATGCAAATAGGATTCCTGGGGCCATCCAAACGCCCACTCCACAGTGGGAAGGCAATTGAACTGAGAGACCACCTCTCCCACGTCCACCCCTAAAACAAAGGGTGCTTCAGCCCTCCCCACACCATACACACCCCAGGGCGGCCCAGCCCTTGGACATCCCCATCTCCAGGGCCACCTAGTTTCTCCTGGCCCTTAGGTTTGGCTTGCCAACTGCTCAGAGGGGACTCAGGGTCAGAGTGGGACTGCCTGAAGGCCCAAGAGGAGGGGCAGACCAACCCAGGCCACTGAGGCCTGGCTGGTGGCTGTGCAGTGGCCTGAGGGGGCTCTGAGGGGCTCTGGTACCCACCAGCCTCGGGAGGGCGGAAGTCAAACCATGATCCCTCTGCCTGCGGCATGTCCCCCCACCCATCCTTCTCATTTCCTCCTGGTGTCTGAAGTGTATCCCTTAAAAGGCACGTGTGGAAGTCCTAATCCCCAGTATCTCAGAATGTGACTGATTTGGAGGTTGGGCCTTTAAATTCTAATGGAGTTAGAATGAGGCCATTTGTGTGGGCCCTCATGCCGTGTGACTGGGGTCCTTTTAAGAAGAGGCAGTTTGGACACAAACACACATAAATGTCTGTGAGCCGAGGGGAGAGGCCAGGAACAGCTCCTTCGCTCCCAGCCCTCAGAAGGAACGAACCCCTCCAACGCCGTGATTTCTGCCTCCTGCCTCCGGAACTGTGGGAAGATACAGTGCTGTGTTTCAGCCCCCTGTCTGGGGTACTTGTAATGTAAGGTGACCAGATGTCCCGCTTTTGTCAGAACAGTCCCAACTTTTAACAATTTGTCCTGCGTGCAGCCATGTTTTAAACAAGTCCCAATTTTTTTGAAAGAATGCACCACAAGCTAGGGAATGGCAGGAGAACGGGAATGGAATATACGGTTTTCGGCAGCCATGTGGCTATTTAGCCAGGATATGAGTTTTATATTCTTTTTGTTAATTTTATAATGTTAAACTTTAATAACAAATAATTGTTGAGAACTGATTATCGAGAACTGCTTATCAAAGTTTGCATTGTTGGTCAGTTGTTAGAATTTGACCACCATTGTTTGGACTTAATGAACAATGGCATTTTTTGGGATTTATATTTTGTAACTGTCTCTCAGATGATACACATCGTACTGCGTGCTAGTAAGCTAGTTAAACAAGTGATGTCATTACAAATTAGCTATTGATATTCAGATAACTTAGGTAAGTAATTTATTTATTTATTTCATAAATACATAAATTTTCTTGAATTTAGCAGACAGTACTTGTATTATTTATATTTTATAGTGGCGGCAAAAAGTCTAGCACTGGCCTTAAAAGTGATACTTATGACAATACATAATTTTTAAATTTATTATATTTGTAAATTGTACTTATGTTGAAATTTAAAAATCTATATTACAATACTATTTTTGCGTTCTATGAAAATTTTTGTTCAGACCAAATTTTTAATCAAGAACCCCCCGATCCCCGTCAATGGTGTCCTGCTTTACCAATGTTAAAATCTAGTCACCTTATTGTAATGGCAACCCTGGCAGACGGATGCAGTGCTCTTGAGCCAGATTGGGCCTCAAATAGAATTTTTTAAAAAAAATATATTTTATTGATTTTTTACAGAGATGAAGGGAGAGGGATAGAAAGCTAGAAACATCGATGATGAGAGAAACATCAACCAGCTGCCTCCAATGTACATGCCCTTGACTGGAATCGAACCCAGTACCTTTCAGTCCACAGACGGACACTCTATCCACTGAGCCAAATCAGTTTCGGCTCAAATAGAATTTTAAAGAAGTTAAAGATAGGAGTCTGCTGGAAAAAAATTTTTATTATCCAAGTTGAGATACAGGTCCTCCGTCTGTTGTCATAACACAGCCCAGTGGGCCAAATGCACAATCCCAGCAGTGTGCAGGGCAAGATCCAGGATGCTGCTACACTTATGGATAGGGCCAGCCGGGAGCCAAGCCACGGGTACAGGGAGCTCACAGGGTTTTGCCTCAGGCTCCCCAGCTGG